TTGCCTTTCCCTTTCCCCTCTCCCTGTCCCTTTCCCTTTCCCTTTCCTCTCTCCCTTTCCCTCTCCCTTTCCCTTTCCCTTTCCCTTTCCTCTCTCCCTTTCCCTTTCCCTTTCCCCTCTCCCTTTCCCTTTCCCCTCTCCCTTTCCCTTTCCCTGTCCCTTTCCCTTTGCCTTTCCCTTTCCCTTTCCCTTTCTCTTTCCCTTTCCCCTCTCCCTGTCCCTTTCCCTTTCCCTTTGCCTTTCCCTTTCCCTTTCCCTTTCCTTTCCTTTCCTTTCTTTGAGAAAGGGTCTTCCTCTGTTGCCTCAGCTGGAGTGCAATGGCACAATCATAGTTCCCTGCAATCTTGAACTCCTGGGCTCAAGAAATCCTCCCACCTCAGCCTCCCAAGTAGTTGGGACTATAGGCACATCCCACTATGTCAGGCTAATTTTTTTTTTAGTACAGGTGAGTTCTTGCTATGTTGCCCAGGCGTGTCTCAAACTCCTAGGCACAAGCAATCCTCCTGCCTAGGCCTCCCAAAGTGTTGGGACTACAGGCACGAGCCACTGCACCTGGTCCTTAAATCATTTTTCATGGCTTCAAACTGGGGGGGATTTTATATCTGTACTCCCAACAACTGTAGCAAAAGTAGACTCCTCAGTCTCTTATCTTCTGTATTACCATTGCAGCATTTACCCACACATTCCCTTATTTAAAAAAAAAAATTTTTTTTTAAGAGATGGGGTTTCACCGTATTGGCCAGGCTGATCTCGAACTCTTGACCTTGTGATCTGCCCGCCTTAGCCTCCCAAAGTGCTGGGATTACAGGCGTGAGCCACCACGCCCAGCCTAAATTCTCATATTTCAACACTTTTTTTGTGTGTGTGTCTTCCCAAACATGCTCCTTGAGTGTAGAGACTGTTTCTTAAACTTCTGCATTTTCAGAGTGACTTATGTAAGGACAACATAGAGGAGTCAATAAACATCCGAATCTTAGTTGATTTGATAATAAAAGATCCCTGGGAACTTGTCAGACCACAAATAAGGCCAAGTGGATTAAAAGACAACTATAGAAGCAGCAGCCAGAGGGAACAAGATGTCCCTCTTAGATGTCCTAAGATGAACCTATGTGGGCCCCGTGTTTGGCTGGTTTTCATAAGAAAGTACTCTATTCCCCTGCCGGGCGCGGTGGCTCAAGCCTGTAATCCCAGCACTTTGGGAGGCCGAGG